GACGAGTAAGACTGGGTGCTCTGGAGATCCCTCTCCAGGGAGCACTGCCCCGAGATCCACATGTTCAGGAGGCAGGTTTCTTAGGCAAAGTGTTCTGGGTAGAGGAACAATGAAATCAGACACAACAGACTACGGTTTGAATATATCTCAGAAAGTCAGAAAGAGAATTATGTTCTCTGGTGAACGGATAAAAACTTTCTGTCGTTCTCTAAACAATAGCCTAGCAACTGTTTATATAGCATTGGATGTAAATGAGACATATGTAAAGTACTTGAGCGGATGTGCCCAGGGATGTGAGCATCTACATCTGAAGGAATTGGAGCCGACATGGAGGGGGGCTGGAGCCAATCTCAGTGGGTTTCAAGGGATGGCCTCATGAACATCCTACAAGACAAGGCCTGGATATTGGGGAATGGAAAGGACCAGCCTAACTTGTTCAGGGGGAGTAAAGGACAGATTCGGGAGGGCGAGAGGGGTTAGCAGGTTAGAGTACCTGCACTCAGGAGGCAGAAGCAGGAGGGTCATCTGTAGTTCAAGGCCATCCTCAGCTATAGAGGCTAGCTTGGCTTACAAGAGACCTGTATCAAAAAAGCAAATCCAAATGGGGGCTGGTGGGGAGGGGGACAAATTAGAGCAAAGCATAATGACACATATGTATTAAAATGTTACAATCGTCTGATGGTGGTGGCACTCGCCTTTAATCCCAGCACTCAGGAGGCAGAGGCAGGCGGATCTCTGGGAGTTCGAGGCCAGCCTGGTCTACAAGAGCTAGTTCCAGGACAGGCTCCAAAGCTACAGAGAAACCCTGCCTCAAAAAAAACTTAAAAAAAAATAATAATAAATAAAAAATAAAATAAAATGTTACAATGTAGCCAGGTGGCAGTACAGCATACCTTTAAGAGGCAGAGGCAGGTGGATCTCTGTGAGCTTGAGGCCCACCTGGTCGACAGAGTGAGTTTCAGGACCACCAGAGCTATTACACAGAGAAACTCTGCTGTGGGGTAATGTTCTTGGGGGAAGGGGGACTCACAACTGCCCGCAGCTCCAGCTACAGGCAATGGAACACCTTCTTTTGGCCTCTGTCAGCACCACGTGTACGTGGTGGTGCATGTGCATACAGTTATACACACTAAAAAAAACAGTAGAAGTTTCAGAGTTAATCATGTAGACAAATGAGAACATATCTTTGGTCCGCAGAAGGCAGAGCTCCTATAAAAATATGGCTAAGGAGCCGGGCGGTGGTGGCGCACGCCTTTAATCCCAGCACTCGGGAGGCAGAGGCAGGCGGATCTCTGTGAGTTCGTGACCAGCCTGGTCTACAAGAGCTAGTTCCAAGACAGGCTCCAAAGCCACAGAGAAACCCTGTCTCGAAAAACCAAAAAAAAAAAAAAATATGGCTAAGGCTGATCATCCCCCATCCGCACATTTTTTGAAATGCCACTCTAAATATCATATTGTTTCCCTTATTATTTTGTTCAATATCTCTGTGGATTAAGTATACTGGATTATAGAAGCAAACAAAACAACAAAAAAGAAGAAAGAAAACCAAGTACAGCTACTTCTTTCACCTCTCGCTACAATTTCTCTTTCTACTTTTGTAAAACAAACAAAACCAAGGTGGAATTAGAAAACTGAGCCCCAAAAGTTGTCCTTATACATACATACATACACACACACACACACACACACACACAGAGAGAACACACAGAGCAAAACATGTATGCTGTAAAAATCGACCTTGAAAAATGAAAAGAGAAGCCAGCCATGGTGGCACACGCCTTTAATCCCAGCATTCCAGAGGCAGAGGTGCGTGGGTCTCTGTGAGTCAAGGCTAGTCTGATCTACATACTGAGTTTTTGTCTCAAAAAACAAAACAAACAAATAAATATAAAAAGAGAAAACAAAGGGGGAGGGAAATGGGAGGCTGTGGCGGGGAAGAGACAGAAATCTTTAATAAATAAATCAATTAAAAAAAATCTTAAAAAAAAGAGAAAACAAAAACAAAAAACAAAAAGTGACTTTGTTCACAGCAATAGCAGCACACATGTGGCAAAGTGGGGACACAGGATTGATAATCAAAGCTAATGGCAAAGAATGGGTGAAGGCTTTGGGGATGAATAAACTTGGCTTGGCACCACACACTCCCTGAGATAGCCAGCCTGATGCTATGCCTGTGACACCAGGAACCTTTCGAACTTTTATTGCCACAGTTGTTGTTGTTCTTCTTCTTTTTCTTCTTCTTTCCTTCCTTCCTTTCTTTCCTTTTTTGTTTGTTTGTTTGTTTGTTTGAGACAGGGTTTCTCTATCTAATGGTCCTAGCCGTCCCAGAACCAGCTCTTGTAGACCAGGCTGGCCTCACAGAGATAGGCCTGTCTCTGCCTCCTGAGTGCTGGGATTACAGGCACGTCCCACCACCGCCCAGCTTCTTTTTTTAAACAGAGTCTTTTGGCTCTGAGTACATTTGTTGCTGTCTTTTCTACACATCGCTTCATTTCTGTTGCTGCCCTCGGGATAAATATCTGTCTAGTCCATTGGCCCTTGCTTCTTTCCTCTCTGTAGGTTCTCAGAACACATTCTCGTCAAGCAGGAAATGGTGCTCAAGCCAGTGAGGAAACCTACTGAGGGCCAGAGAAGCTGTTTGGGTTTACAGAGGAGAAGCAACTTCTAGCATATAGGCCAATTCCCCCCTCTCCCCGCTGCCGCTCTTGGTTTCTGTTCTACTCACAAAGCTTGGCCCCTTTGCCTGGGAGGAGGCATGATCTGGCTTAATCTTTTTTTTTTTTTTTTTGCTGGCAGGCTGATTCTATTGTTTTTCAGCGGGTGGTTCTTGTTGCCTCTTCAATTGCCTGCAATCACACAGCACACCTGCAGGGGTCCTCAGAGCACCCCACACTAGGCAGGTCTTCTTTAGCTAATGTTATCTTTTATTTAAACAGAAAACAGTAGCATTCAATTTTGTTACATAACATACCAGAATCCTAGGGTGTACAGGATCTACTGTTAGGGAGTCGGGGATGTGCAGATACAAATATATTCACTAATACAATATTGCAGAAATGTAACAGATTTGATTTTCTAGTTTTTTTTGTTTGTTTGTTTGTTTGTTTCTCAGGCAGGGTTTCTCTGTATAACAGTCCTGGCTATCCTGGACAATTCATTTTTCAGACTAGGCTGGCTGGCCTTGAACTCACTGAGATCTGCCCGCCTCTACCTCTCCACCGCCCAGCTGATATTTCTGGTTCTTTATTTGAAACTTGAGAGTTGGAAGGGACTTCAGAAACCATCTTATTTCAGCCTCCTTATTTATTTTCACAGTAATAGGAATTGATTCTAGAACCTCAAGCATAGCAGGCAAGAGGCCTATGAGCCCCATCTCCAGCCCCTTATTTCAGGCTGTGGGAACTAAGGCCTAAGGACACAAAGTAATTTATCCAGGAGGTAGCCTGGGCTGGTAATCAAATCTGAAGAATTTAATATACGTCCTTAAAGCTTAAACCTTTCAAGTTTGTGATTAATTAGCTGAAGGCTTTTTGCACCCAGAATTTAGACTTCTCAAAGTAGTCAACTGTAAACAATGACAGTATTCTAACACCGAAACTGATACCTACCAGCGACCATGAGACAGTTTTGGTTTTACTAACTTTGGGACTGCATTTATACCTAACCATGTGATGTCCATTAACTGAAGACAACTTGGTTGATTGAATGTACATTAGAAACAGCTGGGTGAAGTTCCAGGTGACATTTTGAGTTACTTGGGGATCTACCCAAACACCATACTGGGTTTATGCAATAATTACTGCAGGGCATGAGACAGAAGTTACCTGGGCCTCCTGCAGCACCTCACAGCCAGAAACATACTTTTTTTCACCTAACCTAGGCAGGCTAGGAACTGGCTACTCAGTTGAGCATGACCTTGAACTTCTGATCCTTTTTCTGGCTCCACTTCCCAAGCACTTGCTTGATAAGGCATGGACTACCCTGCCCAACTACCATGTATTTTCTTCTTTATAAAATGTCAATGAAAACATTTTTTTGCCCCCATGCCATGCAGAACCCCAGTGGAAAGGCTAGACCTGCTCTATCCTGTCTCTGGCAGGAATTCTTTATCAAATTGACCTGTTTTCCTGCTGGAAGACTCTGCCCCACTCCACCCACCTGGTACCTCCCTGGATTTCCCGACTGTCAGGAGTTTATTTTTTAACCTTCTCTTCCCTGAAAAGCACCACCCCATTGACCCAGAATGCCGACTCCTCCTCTTTGGTCAGTTTGACCATTCTTATTCTACTTTCTGGTTATGTTAAGCGACCTCATTAACTTCTGAAGACCCTGGAAAACCTATTGCTATAGGGCACCGCAATTCCTCTAAAGTCCTTCTGCATGCTCTTCCACCCCCAGTACTGGGATTGAACGCAGGGCCTGGCACACACCAGACCGTCCTTTTCTGGTTTTATCTGGTCGGAATGACTAGCAGGGCAGAGAGAATTGTCTCTCTGCTTCTGAGCAGGGCATGGGTGGGCCCGCTGAGACTGTTCCTATCTTATTAAATCCACTTGCCTTCAAGTCTGAGGGCCACTTCTGGTAACTTAGGCTCTGGGTCAGGAATTAAAAGCGAAGGGAGGAAGGAATTACTATCTAGGTTTTCCAAGAAGTACTGTAAATCCCAAGTCCCATCGTAGCCCCGGGTCCTGGGAATCGCAGTAAACCCAAACAGCCTCCAGTCTCAGAGAACTCACCCTTCCCAATCCTCTCTCCTCCCAGCCCCGCCCGCTAGCTGACCGGACTGGCGGGACCAGGACCTCGCCACACTCCTCGCACGCGCGCCCCACCAGGGCAGAGGGGCGGGTGGGGGTTGGGGGCGGGAGGCAGGGGAATCAGGGGCGGAGTTCCGTCCTCCGCTGATTGGCTCCTTGCTGATGGGCTGCGGCCGTGCCGGACCAACCGGTGGCGTGTTGCTATGTGCTGAGCTGATGGGATAGGCGCGGGGGCGCGTCTGTCACCCGGCAAGCCCCCGGCCCGGACTCGGAGGGATGCGGAGCGGCAGTGGCGGCGGCGGTGGCGGAGACTGTGGCTTTAAGAGCGCACAGGGAGCGCCAGAGTCAGCCGTGCAGTCCTTCGTAGCCAAGCACTCCGGAGGAGCCGAGCCTGGCGCTGGCGGGACCGGGCAGCCTGCCGCCAGGTAAAGGGATCGCTGGCCGGTTGCGCGTGGGCGTGGGGCGCTGTCCGCGCGGGTTCGAGCTGTTCGCCTTGGAGACGGTCGGGCTCCCGCACAGCACGCAGCCCAGCTCGGTTGGGGCGATGCTGGGGAGGTCCCTCGGGATCTCCCCAAGGGTTCTCGGGGCGTCAGGGGCGGGGAGCGGGCTGCGGCGGCCACGTGACCGGTTTGTTTACAAACACTGGCGCGCGCTCCGAGTTCGGGGCTTGGGGAAGACCGCGAGCTGACTGGCGATGGTGGAGACCGCAGGTCTGGGCGCTGCCGCTTCCCTTGTTTGGCTTGATTTCCCCCGCGGGTGGCACACGGTGACACGGGCTGTGTGGTCTGTGTCTCCACCGAGACACTTGGGTCTGGGGCACACGGCCCTCAAAAGTCCCCGGAGTGCTACGCCAGCTCCAGGCCGAGGGAACCGCAACGAGTTCCTGCCTGGACGCTTCCCGGCACCTCCCCAGCGGCCTTGCCAAGGGGTGGGCGCGAACTCTGCTGCCAGACCCGCTGCGGGGGCCTCTGCGGAGGGTTCCTCCCCGGAGCTGGCTCCTGTCTCTCCCTGCTTCAAGTTTCACCTGCTTGCTTGCTGACTCCTTTCGGGTGATTTTCCTGAAAGAGTGGGGGCACACGACAATACTCGCGTCTTGTGACTGGCACTAAGGAGGGGGACCACGCCTGCTTCTTTGGACCCCTTCTGCAAACAACTGCCTGCCACCTCTTGACCTCACTTTTACCCACCGTTTTTAGAAAGCTGAGTGAGCATCCCCCGGTTTACCCAACCTTCCACAGTCCGGCCTGGAAATGGCAAATTGGTCTGCTCAGGAGCTCTGCTGGGTGTTTGTTTTTTGCCTCTTTGTTGATTTATTTGTTATTGCCACGTTGGAGTGTCTTTGAGCTACCGAGTTGGAAAGGCTTAGGGCTAACAAGGGCCCTAGCTACTAGTCTTTTGTCCTGTCGTTCTAGCAAGATGGGCTCTGCCCAGAGCTTTGGCCAAGACTAGGATTACTTTTCTGTATCCCATTTACAGAACATTAGAGACACAAAGGAATTACGGAAAATCTCAGGCTTGTAGCTCTGCGATAGTCTGGTTTGGGGGTTCAGAATCTGATCAATAAGATGGGGTTCACACTTTCCCACCTTTTTGCCACACACTGCCATAGGCTTTACCTGAATCCAGCCAACTTTCTTTGCTTTTAATGCTGATAATTTTACCTTCAAGGAAGTTTCATTCTTTTTAAATATTTTTTTTAAAATTCTGTAGTTTACAAAATAATGACTTTATTATGCCATTTTCATACATATGTATCTTTGTGCCTGGTTCATACTCAGCTATGACAGTTACCCCATTTTTGTCCTGTGCTGTGAAATGAGTGGCAGTGAGTTCTTTACACTGCCCAGCATCGGGAGAGCTGGGTAAACTTCACTTTGACTTCTACGATCTGCTCCCTACTTCATGACAGGGTCAAAATGGGATGGAGTGGGGGCCTGGGCTCATGCCCTGCCTCAGTTGGGCTCTGCCTTACCAGTTTAGAATTCAGTAACACCATTTCTTGGATCTTATCTCTCTGCTTGAATTAGGGTAGGGATGGAAAATAAACTGCTAGCAATAGTGGTGTACGACTAAGTCCTGAACTCTTGGAGGTAGAGGCAGGGGGATCACTAAGGCTAGCCTGGTCTGTGTAAAGGGATTCCAGGCTAGACGGGGCTATGTAAGGAGATGCTCTTGTCTCAGAAAATAAACAAAAACCTTTCGGTTCTTTAGAACCACGATTTTCAAACTTTGAATCCACAGTAAGGAACATGTGCACTGGCCAGCTATTGAAAGAAGTTTTGGGAAGTGGTAACTATTACCCACAGTACCTGCAGTATGCCGGGATGTTTGTTTTCCCGCTTCATTAGAAAAAAATCAACTGGTGGTCATGACTCATTAATTTGATTTCCTAACCAAATGGGTCATGACCTCCAGTTTGAGAAACATTGGTTTAGGGCGGAGGTCCTCTAGCCTGAATGCACGAGGGCTAGAGTAGGGTTTGGAAATACAGTGGTTAAAAGAAATGCATATGTGTATCTGTGTAATTCCTATACGTTAAGCATACATATGCATATGTATAGCGTGTTAATTACTCCTCTCATAGTACAGCCCAGGCTGGCCTGGATAGCCCCAGCCTCAGCCTCCATAGTGTAGAGATTACAGGCATTAGGCCCCACATACCTGTTTAGAGTTGCTAGTTCGGGGTGCCGCGTGGCCTGTTGGAGGACAATACAGGTAGCTGATTAGAAACCATGGTCTCCCGGGGGAGTTGATGGCTGTGCACACGGAGAATGGATATGAAGTGCAAAGTCAGGAAGCTGTCCCACATTTGGGTGCAAGCTTTCAGATCACTCAGTTCCTAGCTGTCGCCCTTTGAAAGGGGCCCTGGCATGGTGGCTACACCTTTGGTTCCACCACTCAGGGGGCAGAGGCAGTCAGATCTCTTGTTCTGCATCATAGCTTGTTCCAGAGCCACTGGCACTACAGAGTGGGACCATGCTCAGAAGCTTAGGTAAACAGGTGCCCTGCTCCACTCCAGCCCCCGGGAAGCTGTTGCTCCTGGCTCTGTAGCACTGGGTGCTTCTGAGTGCGTGGGGGGATGGAGATGTGAGCGGTGCTGACGCTGACAGCTGCTGTGTGCGTTTTTCGTTGTCATAATGATGTTAATGGTTTTGAGGCAGTCCGTGCCTGGGGGGGATTAACAACTGGCCAGCAGAAGAAAGGATTGATTTTGTTTTGTGTCTGGCTGGTATTCCAGACTGTGTAGCCCGAGGGAAAGGCAGGCTGTGACTTTACTTTGATTTGGGGGTTTGGGGGTGGGTGGGTGGGCGGAATCAGGGACTTGTCTATCATCAGATGTTAATAAGAGACTAAAGTTCCCACCTCTCTTGCCTAGTCAGCTGTCTCTTTGAATTGCATGGGCACAGTGTGTGCAGGTGGGTCTTCTTAGTCATTCGGTTCCTGATGCTTTTACCTCTGCCTTTAAGCACAGATGTACAGAAACACGCCGGTGGAGCTGTACAGTCAGTTTCTCTTACTTTGTCCAAACAGGTTGGTGGAAGAGGTTTCTTTGAATTAAAGCTGCAGTTTAGCTTTACAAAGGACACTTAATTATCCAAATTCAGATTCTCCTCTGGTCCTTCTTGGCAACAAAGTGCCTTCCAGGAGAGTGTTCACTGGGAGATTGTTTAAATTAACTTTAATAACGCTCCATTTGGCCTAGCTGCTCATATTCAGTGTATCCAGTTTTGAGCACAGAGAAAAAATGAAAGAGTGGCAAGGGCCAACAAGTCTTAGGAAAAGCAGAGGGGAAGGATTGGAAAGGAGATCAGGCACAGTTCCCTTTGTAAACTATCTCAGCCTTTCTCCGGGTCTACAAACCAAACCACTGGGTCCTCTTGACAGGTACAAAGCATCATCTTGAATTCTAGCCCACAGTGATGGAGAGGTCACCAGTGCCCTCCTGCCTGCCTGCCTGCCAAAGGTATTTTGTTAGGGCTGACAGGTTTTTGGTGATGTTCTCCATAACAAAAGGTGCTGTCTGCTTGGGTCTGTAAAAGATTGCATCTTCCTGAATTTCCCCGTGGGCTGCAGCAATTTCTTCCTCATGCAGGGTGCAGCTCTGTGTGCCCTCCCCCGGTTCGCCCCACCTTATCACCTGCCTTTCTGCCCTCATTTCTGCTGCAACTATTTGGGCCTTTCTGAAACATGCCATGCTCACAAGCAGTCTTCAGAAGACTTCCTATGTGCCCAGGCTGGCTTTGCCCTCCTGGTCCTCAAGCCTCCACCACTGACTGCTGGATTATAGGTGTGCATCACCACACCCAATTTAAACCTTTTTTTTTTTTTTTTTTTTTGGTTTTTCGAGACAGGGTTTCTCTGTGGCTTTGGAGCCTCTCCTGGAATTAGCTCTGTAGACCAGGCTGGCCTCGAACTCACAGAGATCCGCCTACCTCTGCCTCCCGAGTGCTGGGATTAAAGGCGTGCGCCACCACCGCCCGGCTCAATTTAAACCTTTTTTCCCCCTTCTGGGTCACAGCATTTTCTTTTCAAAGATTTATTTCACTTGTATGAGTTTTGTCTGCATGTATTTATGGTGCCAGGTTAGAAGAGAGTATCATTCTCTGGAACTGGAGTTCTAGATGGTTATGGGCCACCATGTGGGTCAGCCTCTACAAGAGCAACAAGAGACATAATCTCTAACTTTGCTTGTTCTTGTTTGCCTTGTCTTTTTTCTTTCTTTCTTTTTTATTTCGAGACAGGGTTTGTCTGTAGCTTTGGAGCCTGTCCTGGAACTAGCTCTTGTAGATGAGGCTGGCCTTGAACCACAGTACTGCGTGCCTCTGCCTCCGTGCCTCTGCCTCCGGAGTGCTGGGATTAAAGGTGTGCACCACCACCATTCAGCTTGTTTGTTTTTTCTATGGTTCCTTTCCTTTCCCAGGTGAAATCCTGCCCCTCCCTGACTGGTTACCAGCAGCTGCTCTTTGCCCAAAGGCTTTTTTAATCCCTTAACTTTGTTTTGACAGGGTCTCTCCTGTCTGAAGCTGGTCTTGAAATTTATGTCTGGCCTCTTTCTCCCTAATGGTGTATTACAGGCCGAATTCTGCATCTTGCTGGTCTCCCAGTGTCATGCATGCTAAGCTACATCCCCAGCCTCCAACTTTATTATTTTTAAAATCCATTTACTTTCATGCAAAAATTTATTGTTTACTTGTTTATTGGAATGGAATATTGAGCATCAATTCCCTGATGACAATACTTGGCATTCAGCAGGTAATGGATAAATAAATACCTGTTGGTTAAAAGCGTAATGCCCAAAGAAGCAGGCCAAGCTTTAAGCTTTAATCTCTATAGAGCAGGAAACCTTTTTGAGGCAGGTTTTTCTTTGTTGTCTTGCATGGCCTCCAGCTAACAGAGATCCACTAGCCTCTGCTTCCCAAGTGCT